GAAATAAAGTTTTGCTTTTTCTCTCTCTAATTATCCCATAATAAATTCTGGTGCTTTTTATTCTCCTGCCCTTCCTTGTCACCACTATCAGCATCCCCATCCCTATTCCTATCCTTACCATCATATCATCATCTCTTACATTTACATAATTATTTATAAACTGAAAGCCATTTTCCCCACTGATATCAACTCATTTGTTCCTTTCACTAGCCTATGAAAAAAATAGTCAGCCAATAAATACTTGTCAATCATCTATGATGTGTCAGGCACTGTGCTAAGTGCTGGGGATATAAATACAAAAAAGAAAAATAGTCTCTAACCTCAAGAAGTTTACAATCTAATGGGGAAGGACCACATATAAAAGGAAATTGAAAGATGGATGCCACCATTATGGAGAAGTCCAAAGTAGTGTACTGGGAAGAAGTGATGTAATTTACTCAATATGGTAGTTAGTATGTGGGAGAACACAAGACTTGAACCAAGGTCTTCTGACTCTAAGAGCAGTATATTACAGCCCTCATACATGATATATAACATTTTGAATAGAACCACATTTTTTTCCAACTATTACTATGCTGGTCCAAATAGAGACTATTCCCCACCTCCCTTAAATCTTGGTTTATACAAACCTGAATGTAACTTACAAACCTACTCTTGTGAATCATTTTTTTAACAAGTACCTTTTTTTCCTTTTAAGGAGATTTTACCAGTGTGGCCTATACTAGGACGCACCTTGAATTCAGATTAATATAGTAATTTTAAACACCACTGAACTCCTTAAAGTTACTTTCCCTATCAATTGTATTATTCTTGTTGTTTGCCCTTCATTCTCAAAGAGAACCATGACATCAGGAAGGAGATGCCATGACTTGCAAGTGAATTGTAAGTGAGGGAGGCCTGTGCAAAGTCCCAGCCTCGCTCCCTCTTTTGGAGCCATCTGAGTCCAGTGGCCAGACATAGAACAGGATAACTGGAGATGGTCCCAGAGACAATGGCCAAGATCAATTGTAACTAACCTTTGGAAAGAAAGATGGAGATGACCTCAAGGGGCAAGTAACTGACACAGTGACACCAGGCCTGGAGAAAGGAAAAATTAAATTCAAAACCGACCTCAGACACTTAATAGCTATGGGATCCTGGGCAAGTCACTTAGCTTCTGTTTGCCTCAGTTTCTTCATCTGGGGATAATAATAGAACCTACCTCCCAGCATTGTTATGAGGATCAAATGAGAAAGTATTTGTAAGGCAATTAGCCCAGTGCCTGGCACATGGTAAATGCTATATAAATGTTAGTTACTATTATTATTTTATTCACCCTCCAAGCTAAGGAAATAATCCAGTTTTAGGATAGAGATGGGATTTGCAGAGCCCCATTAACAAAAACATAAAGAGAACAAGGGGAGAAACTTCATTTGGAGCAGCATGAAAGGCCTGGTGTAGGAAGAAGTACTGGAGCTGAGATGGTCGTACCTCGCCTTTAATGTCATTTACACTGATAAAATCGTCTGGATTGGGGCAGCTAGGTGGCACGGTGTATATAGCACGGGCCCTGAAGTCAGGAGGACTGAGTTCAAATCTAGACTCAGACCAAACACTTGACAGTTACTAGCTGTGTGACCCTGGGCAAGTCACTTAACCCTAATTGCCTAAAAAACAAAAAATGACAACAATAAAATCATCTAGGTTTCTGATGCTGAACAATTCAACAAGGCCAAGAACTTTGGTGGAAGAATTTTCTCTTCCGAGTCTTCAAGATATGTGGCCTGAGCACCTATAGTAGCAGTTGCCAGGTTGCATCCACATAGGTTGCCAGCTGTGGGCAGTGGGTTAAAAACATTGCTATCCCCAAAGCCCTGGATTGTGTCCATTGGGAAGTGAGGGGAGAGATAGTCCTGGTAGTGGTGATGATTTGATTTGCCTGGCATGTCCTGCTTCTCTCTTCAGGCCATCTCATTGCTTCTGCAAGTCTGGCTTACTTGTCTTGTGTGTGGCAGTTAATTGGTGGTTGTGGGGAAGGGGGAGTGGCCGGCCCCTTTTCCACAGGAATTACTTTCTGAATGATGGCTACAAGGCTGGGCCAGGGGTAGCACTAGTGGTCCAGGGGTTGCTGCCACTCTAAGGATTGCTAAGGATAGCTGCCTTTTAATGGCAGTTGGTCAACAGTTGTTGCTATTAGCGATGAGAAAGGTGGGACTGTTTGACACAATTATTTCTCCCCTCAGTGCTGGCTGCAGGAGACTAAGCTAGAAGTAGGTCTGGTCATTTGGAAGCCTCTTGGGTTCACAATTCTGGGTTTTACCACCAGGGTCTGAGGTGATCAAGGTGGTGGGGCTGGTTTAACTATCCTGGCACATACTTGTAGCCTCCTGTGTTTCTCAGGGTGCCTTGCTGCTTTAGCTAGGTCTGAATTTATTTGACAGCCATGCAAATAGGCAGAAGGGAATAGATGCAAGAGTTCTGTGGAGCCAGAATCAGCGAGCATTGGTAATTAATTCGTTCTGCAGTTTGAGAGTGAGTAAGCTCTAACAGCTTGAAAGCACACTAAGATTTTTGGGACAGCTTGTATAACTTAATATTTCATATTTTGTCCAATTTCCAAATTAGGAAGGAAAAGAATAAGTGAGCAGCTGTTTCCATTTGTCCCAAGACACTTCAAATTATTTGGTTTCTTTGTGTCTTTAAACTATTGTTTAGAGTCTAAGTTTTAGACTTTAGATTTCTGTTGCTAAAGCTTTAGCTGGTGGCCAAATCACTCATTCCTTACATATGCAAAGCCTTTTCAATCAATAAGCATTTATTAAGCACCTACTATGTGTTAGACATTGTGCTGAATACTGGGGATAAATGAAATAATCTCTACTCTCAAGCAGTTTATGCCTTTTGAATGCTAAAAAGAATTTAATTTGTATAGGGATTTTCAAAGTGAAGTTGTAAGTATAGAAATTTCTCACCAAAGAAATGAAGACTTTTAAAAATAGAACTCAACATCTTTCCCCTAATCCTACCTCTCCTCCAAATTTCCTTTTTTCTATTAAGAAAATTTGTTTCTTCTATTTTTCTTCTATTTCTTATTTTCTATTCTATTTTTTTCTATTAACTGGCATCCTTCCATTCACCCAAGTTTCACAACTAGGGAATTATCCTTGAGTCTTTCTTCTCCCCCACCACTTTTCTCAAATCAGTTGTCACTTCTTGTCAGTTCTACAACCCTGACGTCTATTATATTCATCCTTTTCTTTTTATTCATAAAGCCTCACCTCTCTAGTTTTGGCCCTTATCACCTCTCAGATAAACTCTTGCTGTAATCTTCTAATTTATCTCCCTGATTCCCATCTCTCTCCTCTCCAATCCATGATCCCTCCCCACAAATGACAAAATAATCTTCCCCAGGCATGGATATGGCCTTGTTGATCTTCTACTAATAGGCTAAAATACCAATTATATAGCCTGGCATTTAAAGCATCATAAATAATAGGCATTTAATTAGTGTTTATTATACTAAAATGCAAAAGAATTCCAGACCAAATTATTTTCATTGCAATCTGTCATTCCAAACAACGACTTTCCTTTTCTGTTGCCCCACACAAGGTTGATGCATTCTGATTCATCAAGAGCTAGGAAGGGCACCACTCGCCCTAGATTTGTAACTACAGTGAAGTAAACAGTCAAACTACCTCTGAGTCAGTCAACAAGCATTTATTAAGTGCTTACTATGTGGCAGGCACTGTGCCAAGCACTGGAGATACAAAGAAAAACAAAAATAGCCCCTTACTCTGTTAAAAATGATTTCTCTTGGTAATCAGTGTTCTGGAGACTCGGAGCTCCCCCCTCGTACCCCGTTGTCATCCTTCTGACTAATGTTCTTTAGAAGGACATCTCTGATAATGAGATTGCATCAAATCTTATTTTGGTCAAACACCAAACCAGGTCTGAATTGATTTTATCCTACTCAGGTTTGGGTGGAGACAGACTTCCAAGACTGGGGGTGGTATTTCCTTTGATGGCAGGTGATATTGGCCCCATGGACTATGCTCTGAAGCACGTATTCAGAACTCATTTTAATATGACCTATCTCTTGATATCTCAACCAATCACGGTTGATTGGCACCCCTTGGGAACACTGACTCTTCTACAGGCATATAAGGCTGTATCCCAAAATCCCAAACTAAGCCCCCTTAGAGGGACCCAGTTTTGGACTCCCATGCAATGCATGTCAAACCACTTCGAGAAATTAAACCGTGGGTTCATGTACCCAATTTCATTTGTCTCTCTTTCAAATTGGAGTTTGTGGGGTTCATGGGGTTCAGGGTTCACAACGCTCAAAGTGCCCACATTTTACTGGAGAAGACAAACAGCTATGTGCAAATAAGATATATACTGGATAAATTGGAGATAATCATAGAGGGAAGGCACTAACATTTAAGGGGGACCAAGATAACCTTCTTACAAGAGGTGAGATTTTAGCTCAGATTTGAAGGAAGCCAGGCAGCAAAGGTAAGGAGGGAGAGAATTGAAGGCAAGCTGAGACCTCTGGAGAAAAATGCCTGGAGGCAAGAGTATATCCAGGAAGCAAATGGCATTTAGAAGCTAAGCCTGAAGATCTTCAAATAATAGCACACTCCTGCCAAGTTCTGCTTGCTACAATTGACAATTGTATGAAGTAATTTCTGAGTTCCTAAGTGGACTCTTCTAGGTTAGCTATCTCCTAACCATTGTTTTTTATTCCATTCCTTGGATATAGATTTTAATCATTTATCACCCACTCCACCCATACATTGTCATGGGTACAGAAATTTTAAGGAACATCCCTTTTAAAACTTTTAAAAATAAGTTTCAGTTGTCAGCTATCTACTTTGGTCCTAGAGAGGGATTGTGGGGAAAGAAATCATTGAATTATTATTTTCTATTCCATTTCCTTTGTGAAATGAAAATTCAGTGACTTCCTTTTATTATTAACATTATCGAGACTGATGGTATTTTGATGTGGTCCTTTCTTGTAGAGATCAACTGAATTCTTTATTGAAGACCTATAACATTTTTTATGGGGACCAGAAGAACCGGCATATTATATATGGTGAGGTAAGAGCAACATCGTTCTTAAAAATTGGGGAATGGCTGAACAAGTTGTGGTATATGAATACTGCTGTGCTATAAGAAATGATGAACTTGTTGATTTGAGAAAAGCGTGGAAAGAGACATTCACAAAATAATGAAGAGTGAAATGAGCAGAACCAAGAGAACAGTATACACTAACAGCAATATTGTTTTAAGAATGACCCAAATTAACTATAAAAGACATATGAAGAAAAACGCTATCTGCATCCAGAGAAAAAAACTGATAAATTGAAATATGTATAGAACAATTTTACATATATGTAACCTATTTGTGTCTAATGGTAGCTATATTGGGGGTAGAGAAGAAAAAAAGGAAAAAAGAAATTTAAATGATAATTTACATGTTGTATATTTGAATGGAATAGCAAGTTGTGCATGGTAGATTTGAAGTGTCATGTGCAATTATTTTTTTTATTGTACTATGTTATGGAAATACTTGTTTTATTCCATATATTAAAAATAAAATTAAAAGCAAATAGATGATGGTTAGATAATCAATTTGTTACTCAGAACAACACTGTTTTTTTGTGTTTTGTTTTGGTGAGGCAATTGGGGTTAAGTGACTTGCCCAGGGTCACACAGTAAGTATCAAATGTCTGGTCTGAGATGGGATTTGAACTCAGGTCCTCCTGACTCCAGGGCTGGTGCTCTACCCATTGCACCACCTAGCTGCCTCAGAACAACACTGTAAATGATCCATAGGAAGTATGGTCATTAAAAAAAAACTTTTTAGAAAATGAGAACTCTTGAATTTGCAATTTCATCCATTTGAAGATTCCATCGAAGGCCCCTAGATAAATTTCCCTTTTGATTGAAAACAAACAACTCAAAGAGTTTGAATCTCACTAAGAAAAGATGTCATGCTGTGGTGATCATCAAATTTACTAAGAAGCAACTTATACATTCAGGTATACTATATAAAGGTCCTGGAGTTCTACTTCTGAATCATCCTCCAAGACAACAAATCTGAAAAGCAACTCAACAGCCAGATAATAGTAGCAATACTGTTTCAGAAATGACTGGAATAAATGATTCAAAGAAAGTGTTTAAAATAAGACTTGAGCCAAGTCTTGTTTTTATGGGGAGGAGGGGCCTCCCACCCTCACCCTCAATTTTGGATGTCATCAAAGAAAGTAGGTGTGGAGGTGGGGAAGGGACAAAGGACAGAGTTAACCAGGAGTTAGTATGTTAACAAATTGCTGGGATATGTCTCAGACCCAGTCATCCTGTGGAAGAAGTTATCTGGTTAAATTGGAAAGGCAGCTCACATTTTATCTGGATGAAGAATGGCCATGCCCTAGGGAAAGTCTTTAAACAGCTAAGCCTGCTGAGCCCTGGAGACAGTGGGTTAAGAGTTTAAGGAATTCAAGGCAGGGAACAACAATGGATGGATGGATGGATGGATGGATGGATGGATAAAACTGTGTATATACCTAAAAACATACATTGTGAAAATATGAGGGGCAGCAAGGTGGTACAGCGGATAAAGTGCCAGATCTAGAGTCAGAAAGACTCATCTTCTTAAGTTGAAATCCAGCCTCAAACACTTACTAGCTGTGTGACCCTAGGCAAGTCACTCAACCCTATTTGCCTCAGTTCCTCATCTGTAAAGTGAGCTGGAAAAGGAAATGGCAAACCACTCTAGTATCTTTGCCAATGGAACTCCAAATGGGGTCCTCAAGAGTCAGACATGACTGAAACAACTGAACAACAAACAGCAAAATTTGAGAGGACTGATGAAATGAATATGTATTTCAAAAATGAGAAAACCAACAAATAAACTCAAAAGATAATGAAAATTAAAGGAGAATTAGATAAATTGGAAACCAAAAATACTATAGAAATGATAAAATGAAAAGCTAGTTCTTTGGAAAGACTAGCAAAATTGATCAGCCTTTACTGACCCAATTATAAAGAAGAGCAGAAAATGAAGTCAACCAAACAGCAAATGAATTAGGTGAAATCACAACAAAATTAGAATATAAAGAATTATTGAACCCTATTGTGAGCATTCTAATGCTACCAAAACTGAGAACACAAAAGAAATAGAGGAATACTTTTAAGAACATAAAATACCAAAACTACCTACCAAAAATATATCTTTAACAATCCAGTTTAGAAAAGACAATAGAACAATCTATAAAGAAACACCAAAGCATGGGGGTAGGGGGGAGAGAGGAAGGAACCTCCTGGTCCTGATGGATTCCCAGGAGAATTCTATCAAACTTCTAAAATATTCTGCGCAAATATTGAACAAAGTATTTTTTAATCTAGAAAGCATTCTACCAGATCTTTTTATGATATTAATGTAGTCCTAATACTTAAACCAAGGAAGAGTTAAATAAGGAGAACAACAGAACATGAAGGAAATGGCAAGCCACTCAGTATTTTAGCCCAGGAAACCCCAAATGTGGTCATGAAGAGTCACTTGGGAATGAAATGACCAAAACAACAAAATAAATCAAGAGCATTAAGAAATACTGATTCAAGAATTTTCTTTTTTTTCCTTTTTTTTTCTCTAGGCAATGGGGTTAAGTGACTTGCCCAGGGTCACACAACTAGTAAGTGTTATGTGTCTGAGGTCACATTTGAACTCAGATCCTCCTGAATCCAGGGCTGGTGCTCTATCCACCGTGCTACCTACCTGCCCCCTGATTCAAGAGTTTTTAATAAAATCCTGACAAACAGACTACAGAAATCTATACAAGAAACCATTTGTTACGGCCAAGTATCAAGTCTCTCTTTTTTAAAAAATCCTTTATTAATTTTGTTTCAAAAAAAACTTATTTTTGTTATTTAGTTCTTCTAAAATAGTCCTCCATTTAAAAAAAAACACATTCCCAAACAAATCTCTCATGGTCTACATAGTCCAGTGAAACAAATTCCCACATTGATCCTGTCCAAAAATGGATATTTCTTTCTGCATTTTAAATTCACCACCATTTTAAATTCCGTCTCAGGTGAGTGGAGTGTTTGATCTTAGTTCTTTTAGACTCATAAATTTTATTGCACTGATAAGAATTCTAACGTATTTCAAAGGGTTTTTTTTCCCTCTAATGTTGTTAGAACTGTATCAGTTGTTTTCCTTGTTCTGCTTACTTCACTCTGCATCTTTCATAAAGGTCTTACCAGTTAATTTTGAAATAATCCATTTCATCATTTTTTATGGCACAATAATGTTCCATTACATCTGTTAAGCCATTATTTTTCTTTAAAACAGTGTTATTTGTTATATGGAATAGTTCTTTAAAAAATACGTTGCCATGTTTTGCTTTTACTAGCCTCAGCCACTTGCTAGCTGTGTGACCTTGGGCAACTCCCTTAACCTCTGTTTGCCTCCATTTCCTCAACTGCAAAATGGGGAAAATAACATAACTTACCTCCTAGGTTTGTCATATGATTCAAATAAAATAATATTTGTAATATGCTTAGTATAATATCTGGCACACAGGTACTTTATAAATGCTAGCTCTAATAATAATTATTATTATTACATTAAAAACATTTCCAGATTACCCAAACCCTATGAGAACTCTCTTGTAACAAAGTAAACAAGCAAAAATTAACAATACAGTGACATCATCAGAAAGTACATGCAGCATTCCGCACTTGGAGCCCCACCAATCTCTCTATTTTTAAAAAATATTTTAATGAACATAATTAACACAAATTCATTTTAATTAGTTGTAAATCTATTTTCTTTCCCTCCCACTTCCAACCCCATTGATAAAAAAGAGAAAAAAAAATTCCTTGTAACAAATATGCATAGTCAAGCAAAAACAGTTCCCTCACTGCCTATGTACAAAAATATTCTGAAGCCTAAATCCATCACCCTTCTGTGAACAGACAGATAACATATTTCATCATCTGTCCTCTGGAATAATGGGTGGTCATTGAATACTTCTTGCAAATTTTAAAGTTGTTTCTTTTCAGAGTTGTTATTGTAATAACAACAACAATAAAGCTTTTAAAGGTTTACATAGTGCTTTAGGATATCTATTTGATCATCACAACAACCATGGAAAATATGTTCTATGATTACCCCCATTTTACAGTTGAGGAAACTGAGGCAGATATAGACAAAGTGATTTTACACAAGGCAACATAGCTAATATTCCAATTCAGATCTTCCTAGCTTCAAATCCAGCTCTCTATCGCATGCACCACCTACCAGTATTTACAGGAGTTGTTCTGATTCTGCTCATTTCATTCTTTATCAGTTTAAAAAAGACTCCAAAATTCTTCATTTTTATAATTTTGATGTTATAGTAATTCCATTTTCAGGATCTGCTCACTTGACTCTTCATTAGTCATATAAGTTTTTCTTTCCACATCTCTTTGAAACAATCTATTTCCTCATTTCTTACAGTATGATAGTATTTCATCACATTTGTATACCACAATTTTTTTGTTGCTTCTCATCTGTACCACCAGCTGCTAAAAATATTTTTAAACATATAGGACCTCTTCATATTTCTTTTGTCTCTTTTGGGCATAATTTGTACTTTGTCTTTATAGCTGCATTTCTACTGTTCTTGTATATGTCTTTGAAGGTTATGAGATGGCTCTTTGGAAATGGAGAGAGGAGGGATACTTGAAGAAATTTCAAAATAAAAGATGCCACTACATATTTATCTTAAAAATCAGTGAATGAATTATTATACCTCTTATCAAGCATGAAAGGATGCCCTGAACAATGAAATTGTCTGCGGACAAATTGAGAAACCAAACAAATATGGTTTTTTCTGTCAATTTCTCCTGCTGTTATTTCTAACAGACTTTATTTTTGCATTTTTCATATTGAATTGTTATGTTTTTTAGAGAGAATATTGAATTTTTTGATACATTACAAAGAGTGTTGATGAGATTTTGTTTTCTAGACTGAAGATGACAATCTAGTTATCGAAGGAATTTTGAATATATTCTGGGGAGTAAAAAAGCCCATCCGGCTGAAAATACAAGATGAGAAGGAGGTCCCTTCTTTTGCCACCATCAAGTCATCAACTGTATTCTCCCAGAAGGGGTGAGCTATACCTCAGATAACTCAAATACAATGTAATGCAAATATGAGCTATGTTTAGACTGGAATAAAAGTGAGTAATATATGACTCTTTAGACATAAAGATATTTGTCTACCAGAGACAAATTTTCTGTTCCAAACAGAGCCTTTTATTTCCAAGCTATATTTATATACTTTGTTCACTCTCTACAAACTGAAGCCTTAGTAACGTTCAGCCTAATTGTCATAGTGCAGTAGATAGAGCACTAGGCCTGGAGTCAGGAAGAACTGAGTTCAGATCCTACCTCAGACACTTACTAGCTGTATGACCCTGGTAAAGTCCCTTCACTCTGTTTGCCTCAGTTTCCTCAACTGTAAAATGGGAATCATAATAGCACCTACCTCCCAGGATTGTTGTGAGAATCAAATGGCATATTTGTAAAAAAAGAAAAATACTTAGCCCAGTTCCTGTCACATAGTAGATGCTATATGAATGCTTATTCCCTCCCCTTTTGACCCTTCAAGTCCCATGCCAGGCCCTCTCAAACTTACTGTGGGAAGAAGGAAATTGAATTAGTTCCTAGAAGGCAGCCTACAGTTCACCATCAGTGAATTAGAATTGGTGCCATTAATATTATCACTTTTTTCTTCATTTCCAGTAGAATTCATGGCCATTCTGAAAACAAAATACAATCTGGGGAATGAATGGTGGAAGGGAGGATGGGGTGGAATGGGGGCATGGTGGTTGGGTAGAGGGTTGGGGGAGGGAGGAGCAGAACAAGAAAGAGAATAACAGAACAGTCTTAACAACTTGATTCTGGTGATAGGAAAAAGCCTATGAACATCAAAGGAAAGCTAACATTTACCTGGATGGTGGAACCCAGAGCTCCATGTTCGTTCTCCCTTCTATAAGCTGTGTTCCCAACGTTTATAAGGTACAGCATTTGTGAGACAGCAGAGACGCAAACAGTATGATGACTCTCCCCACATTCCCCAGAACAAGACTCTTGACTACATCTTGTTCACATTTCCTATAGAAATGTAGGCTGATGGCCATCCCATAGTCAATAGCATAATTTAAGTAAATGACAAGTGCATTCTATATTAAAAAACCCAAATGTCCAAAATAGGGTCATTTTGGAGATTATTCTTCACATTTCATAAAGATTCTTTGCATGGTTCCTCTAAAGGTCAAACTCCCCAAGGGCACTTCAGTAGAATTTGATTAACCAAAATTTAATTTGTATGCTCCCTTTAAGGAACAAGGCAATTTATTTTTTTAAATAGTATTTTTTCCAATGACATGTAAAGATAACTTTTAACATTATTGTTTTAAAAACTTTGAGTTCCAAATTTTCAGTCTTCCTCCTTCCCTCTTCTCCCTCTGCCCTAAGATGGTAAGCAATTTGATATAGGTTATATGTGTGCCGTCATGTGAAACATATTTCCATATTAGTCATGTTGTGAAAGAAGAAATAGAACAAAAGGAAAAAAACTGCAAAAAAATAGGGTGAAAACAATAGGCTGCAGCTGGCCTTCAGACTTGAACAAGGCAATTTAGAAAAGGTAATTCTTTAGCTGCTTGTTAAATCAAGCAAGAATTTGTGCGACCTTTCCAAGTCTCCTTCTTGGGCTTCTCAAGACCAAGGTCTTGAGGTGTTCCTTAAAGTTTCAGATCTCTAAGGTCAGTTTTCATGAGCTGGAACTAACAGGTGGCTGTGTCTCATTTCTGTTCAATTCAACAGGTGATTATTTAAGTTTCTATAGTGTTCCATGCACTATGCTAAGTACTGGTGTCACAAAGACAAAAATGTAAATGATCCCTGCCCTCAAAGAACTTACATCATTTGTTTAGAGAAATAACATGTATATAGAAATGTATGAAATTTATACAAGTCAACAAGGTGGAATGGATAGAGAGCTGGCCTTAGAGACAGAAAGACATGGGTTTAAGCCCCACCTGTGACCCATACTGACTATGTGACCCCAGATAAGTCATTTCTTCCACTTCCTAGGTAACTCTAAGAGCATAAGAGAAGATGCCAACCTGCACTGGTCAAGGGAATTTTCTCATCTGGGAGTTTCTTGCACAACGAAATCACGTGTCTAGTCCTATACCAAAACACAACGTAATTGGGGAGAATAGGAAAGGTCTAATATAGGCACTTGAATTGAGCCTCAAAGGGAAACCTTTAAAGGCTAAGTACCTGAAATGAAATGGATGATTTCCCTGTATATAATGATTTCATTCAGCATTTACTTTCAGAATAGTTTGTGGTAGGTAGTAAGTGGAATTCTTTGCATCTTTGAGTTGAAGAAATGAGACCCAAAAAGATAAAACAACTAGTTGGTGCAGTGGATAGAGTACTTAGCCTAGAGTTAGTCAGGCCAGGGTTCAACTTTAGCCTCATACCCTTCTAGCTATATAACCCTGGGCAAGACCTTACTTAATCTCTGTCAGCCTCAGTTTCTTCAAACTGTAAAATAATGATTAGGGCAGCTAGCTGAGCAGTAGGTAGAGCACAGGGCCTGGAGTTAGGAAGACCTGACTTCAAATCCAGCCTCAGATAGCTGTGTTACCATGGGCAAGTCACTTAATCCTGGTTGCCTCAGTTTCCTCACCTGTAAGATGAGCTGGAAAGGAAATAGCAAACCCCTCCAGTATCTTTGCCAAAAAAAAAAAAAACCCAAAAGGGTCACGGAGAGTTGGATCTGATTGAATCAACTCAAAGACAACAACAAAAATAGGGATGATAGTAACACCTACCTCACAAGGTTGCTGTGAGGATCAGATGAGATAGTATTTATAAAAGCACTCAGCACAGCGCCTGGTACATAGGTGTTTTATAAAATTTATTGAACTCCTCTGCTTCAGTCTCTTACTGGCTGATTGCTTCTTTAATTGTTTCTTTCCTTGAGTTCAAAGATGATCCACATTATACATATAGATAGAAAGATATAGATAAATATATTTAATAAATTACTAAAAATGCCAACTCTTTCAATAACTAGCTAACTAATTCTTCCTTTGGAGTTCCCAGACTTATATAACTGAGATCTCTCATGAGTTGTCTTCTTGCACCCTTAAACCCCAAAGTTGTGGCCTTACTTACACATAATCACCATTGTTATTACTGCTGTTGTCATTATTGTCGTTATCATTATCTCTTCCATTTCCTTTCTCCACCCATATTCTCCTAGTTAAGGTCCTCATCCATTCTTCCTTGGGCTATTACAATAGTCCCTAACTGAAACCCCTGCCTCAAACATCACCCCCACTCCAACCCATCCTTCACACAGTTGCCAAAGTAAATTTTCTAAAGCATAAATTTGATGCCACTCTTCTGCTTATAAACACTAATTGATCCCCATTACTCTAAAAACAAAAACTACTCTCTTGGGCATTTAAGGTCCTTCCCAACCTATCTTTTGAGTCTTATTAACATTATACCCCTTCATGCATCCTCCAGTCCAGTCATCCTGGTCCTTCTTACTGTTCTTCAGACATGGCATTCAATGTCCTTCTTATGCTTTTGAGAGTCATGGGCTGACTCCATGACTGGAATGCACGCTCTGCTTGCCTATCCTAGTTTCCCTCAAAAGTCAGAATAAGCATCATCTCACGATTTTTTTTCTTTTCCCCTAGATCGTCCTACAAACCCTCACCAAAATTACTTTGTCTCTATTTCAATCTCATACCTACCTCCATGCATGTTGTCTCCCTTGATACAGTGTAAACTCCTTGAGAAAAAACTGTTGTCCTCTCTTCTTTGTATCACTAGCACTTAGCCCAGTATCTAACACACGTAGGCATTTAACTGATTGATTCACTGACTTACTTGGAAGATTTTCTTTTAAGTAGATTGATAATGGAAATATTAGCATGTTTTTCTTCCCTGTAATAAAAATAATGGAATTTCATGTCTTAGGAGACAGACAGTTAACTGCACAAGCGACTCACAGACTCTTTCTCCAAACTATGACTCTATGAGTCTCCTAAGAAATGAAATTCCATTAATGTCTTTTCAAAGTCTTACAAAGACTTCCATAAGAAAGAGACTTACATAGGCCAGTCATGACAATCAACACTCCATGTTTCTATTCATTCTCTCTCCCTCTCCCTCTCCCTCTCTCTCTCTCCCCTCTCTCCTCTCTCCCTCTCCCCTCTCTCCCTCTCCCCCTCTCTCCCTCTCTCCCTCTCTCTCTCTCTCTCTCTCTCTCTCTCTCTCTCTCTCTCTCTCTCTCTCTCTCTCTCTCTCTCACACACACACACACACACACACACACACACACACAGAGAGAGAGAGAGAGAGAGAGAGAGAAACAATATACAAAGTTTATCTGAGAGAGGCTATATCATCTAGGGTTACCAACTGTCAATCAATCATTGACCACTTTCTTTAGCTCATTTAGGAAACCCCTGATTGGAGGCCAGGACTGCCTTTGGTAGGACAGGTTCTAAATTAGAATAAGTGTTTCTTTTTATATTTTAGAGAGTTTCACTGAAATCTTACAGCACTTATATATAGTATTGATTTTATTCATCAAGCAAAACATACAATCCATGCTTTGAAAATGATGCCCTCTATTATACATGATGGGAGGAAGTATACAATATCTCTCTTAAAGGAAGAATAACAATATACAAAGTCTATGTGGGAGGGGCTATGTCATCTAGAATTACCAACTGTCAATCAAGCATTGACCACTTTCCCTAGTTCAGTTAGGAAATCCCTATATTGAAGGCCAGGACTGGATCTGGTAGACTATGTTCTGAATTAGAATGAATACTTCTTTTCACATCTTAGGGAGTTTCATTCAAATCTTGTAGCACGTAAATATGGTCTTGGTGGTATTCACCAAGCAAAACATTTAATCCATGCTTTAAAAAATGATGTCCTCCATTGTATACAATGGGGGGAGAAATATACAATGCAATATATGGTACATTTAGCACTAAATTATAGTATTTCAACCTAATCACAGATCCAGTGTACTCATGAAAATTCCACTTTATTTAAAAG